CCCCGGCGGCGGCTGCCGTCACGCCCTGGGCCCATCCCCGGGCATTGCTCCAGGGTCTGGATTGAGGGGAAGTGAGGCCCACTCGTCCGGTTATGTCCCCTCTTGTCCAGCGTCCCAGGGCTGGGGGAAAGGCTCCCTGGCTGCGACGGGACGAAGTGGGGATTGGGGTTCGCTCTGTTGTGTGGCATTGAGTCCGACTGTCCTGCCCGCTCTAACACTGAGCGTGCCTCAGTTTCCCTGGGCACTGCACCGGCGCCCGGCTGGGGTGGGAGTTTTGGGGGTGGCTCTCACTGAGGGGAGGCTGCCCCAGGCTGCCCAGCCCAGCCTGTACACAATGGGCCAGGCTCTCCGTGACTGAGCCTAGGAGGGGGATGCAAACGTAATCCCCGGAAGCCGGACAAGGGAGGGGGTGGGGCTGCCTACAGGCTGGGACCGGGGGCTGTGTGTGAGTGAGTCTCAGCTGGCTCAGGATACAGGGAGGGGCCCCAGGGCCCTGGCTTTAGGCTCCCGTCTCCCAGAAAGGATGTTCTGGCTGCTCCTGGTTCCTGTACCAAGTCTGAGCTACGCTGTGACCCCGGCAACCCATGAACCTTCAGTTCTACCTGCCGGCTGAGAATCCCCTCTGGCCCCAGGTGGGGGTGCAGGGCCCGGTGGCTCCCCACCCCTCAGTGACAGGTGTGAGTCACTGAGACCTCCCCTTGCAGCTGGGACAGGCCTGGGCCTTGTCTACACGGGAATGTGGTGCCAGCAGGGAGGCCAGGGCGAGCACCAGAAGAGAGTTCCCCAGCCCTAGGGAAACCTGGTTCACCCCAATGGTTTGCGGAGGGAGGGAGGGTATGTGTGTGCATGCGTGTGGGTGTGTGTGCGCGCGTTTGTGAGAGTGTGTGTGTGGGGGGGTGCGCGCGCGCGTGTGTGTGGATGTGCGTGTGTGGGTGTGCGTGGGTGCGCGCGCGTGTGTGTGGATGTGCGTGTGTGCGCGCGTGTGTGGGTGTGTGGATGTGTGTGTGCGTGTGTGGGTGTGCG